TCTTATCATGTCTCCCTATGTTTTTATTTTTTAATTATCTTAATTGTACAGCAATTGTGATATAATTGTGATATATAAATACATTTGACTTTGTCATTGTCTTCATGCTTGCATGCATGTAATCTGAATGAATTACTTACCATCAAAAAGAAAGTCTGTTCTAAAAGGTTGTCGTCATTATACATATTTATGTGATACTGTTTCAACACTCTGATTCTTTGTCCTACCAGGTGATATTGGTTCATCCCAGTGAGGCAGTCACAGAGCTGCGCAGGATGAACAAAGAGGAACCTGACAGGATCTTCTTCAAGAGCCAGTTCCGCTCAAGCTTGTTCACTAGAACGACCACGTGTAACGTATGTTTACGTCCAACTGAGCAGCCTGTGTGTAACTACACTGACCTCCATACAGGTGAGCCATGGTTCTGCTACAAGCCAACAAATCTGAGTTGTAATGCTAGGATCAGCAACTACAATGGAGGATATAAAAAAAACCTGACAACTATGGAGAAGCTTTTTCAGAGGTGAGCATTATCTGTGGTGTTAAATTTCTGGAGTGACTAAAAATGTATATACTGTGCATAATACATTTAATTTTCTAGTTCAAAAAGATGTTCTTTCCAAATTTTGTGAAGATGTTAATTGTGTATGCTTTCCTTCAGAGGTGTAAATATGAAAGTCTCCATTCCGGCTTCAGGACCAGCCAGCGTCACCATTTTGCCAAAACAGAAAGGTACGCTAACATCTATATCTCCATAATGAAATATTTAAAAAAGGTTGTGATATATATTATAAGCAGTTGGCAGATCAAACATTAATAAATAAATAAATTAAAACTCCCACAACATTTACTAGCATCTTCTTGATATTGGACACCTATAGGATGTGTCAAGGTTATTTTAAGAGTAAGTGATCAGGAGATCTGGAGAACTTTATTGATGCGTTATTGATAACACTAACAGCTAGGGGTGTTCTTATGAAAGCATAGTTCAAGATGTGGATGAAATTAACTTACCGTAGGGGTCTCTTATAAAATTACAAAGAAACTTCTGGGAATTGGGCAGTGCAGTGAGGTTTACCTCATTAAAATTAGATTGATCTCTCATGTAGAAGGGCAGATCGTTGGAAGCCAATCAATGACTAGTAATGGGAATTGAAAATAGCACAGTGATTCTGCTATAGAAACATGGACAGGGAGAAACAGAGGTGGCAACCTGACTGCTCATTAGTTTCTTACAAGTTGAAGTTCAGGTTCTGGCTGCTGGGCTGGGGTCAGCTTTAACATCATTCTAGAACACGCCATCGACCAGATGTTTCATGAAATCAAAATTAGAAAAATACAGCAATACATTTGTAAGAATTTGACTTGGGTTTGAATGCTACAGACAGGTTAAAGAAAGGCTTTGTTTTGGTCTTTTCATTTTAAGTTAAAAACACACACAAGTATTTGTTTTCCTGCTTACCAGGTCAGTCAGAGGTGAGCAGCAGCAGTGGGGAGTCTAAACCCTCTGGCTATTACTACCAGGGTGTGTGGCGAGCACTAGATGGTTCCACAGTTCAACAGTTCAACACTTCCTCAGCCATCACTCAGTGTCTGAAAGGAAAGGTGGTCCATATGTATGGAGACTCCACAATGAGGCAGTGGTTTGAGTACCTTAATGCATCACTACCAGGTAGCTTCTCTGCAAACCCTTCTGTAAACCAACATTATGATGTTCACCCCATTTTATTCATGTAGCTTAACTTATTCCCTTTGGAATTCTTTTAGATCTAAAGGAGTTTAACCTGCATAGCCCCAAGTCTATCGGACCTTTAATGGCGCTGGACTATGCAAACAATATCTTTGTGACGCACCGCGCCCACGGTCCTCCTCTGCGTACTGTCAATGTCCCATCCATGGAGCTGCATTATATTGCCAATGAGCTGGACAATGTGGTTGGAGGTAGTAACACTGTAGTAGTTTTTGGCATCTGGGCACACTTTGACAATTTCCCTATTGAGTTCTACATCCGTCGACTGATGTCCATTCGCAGGGCAGTGGTAAGGCTACTGTCCAGGGCTCCAGGCACTGTGGTTGTCATTCGGACTGGAAATCCCAAATCTTTTACACCCTCTGGTGCATTTGTCAACAGCGACTGGTACACTTTTCAGCGGCTAAAGGCACTCAGGGCTGTGTTCAAAGGCTTCAATGTCCATCTGGTCGATGCCTGGGAGATGGTTCTGGCCCACCACCTGCCACACAACATGCACCCACAACCTCCAATTATCAAGAACATGATTAATGTTCTTTTATCCTACATATGTCCTCAAAAGGTTGGATAGATGTGTTTCAGCAGCCTATGCAGACACATCTTATCTATAATATGTATGCTTCAAATTCATAGGAGCAGACTATGGTGGCACATAATCTTAATAACTTTTTTGTTATGACAACAATAATTCATTTGAAACATGAGGGGGGGGATGCAAAGCTGACATATTCCAATGTCTTCCTAAGAGAGGAAGCACCTGACAAATTATGCTGTCTCTAAGTTTGATTTTATGTAATTATATTTGAGCAGGTCGACTAATTACATCAGTCAGTCTTTCCCAGGCTGTGAGCAATCAACATAACTCTAGTGCTGTCCATCTAGCTGGTTATTACAGTTGACTGCCAGCCTTCAATTTGTTTCTTCATTTTGCAAAATTTTGTAATTCCTTGTTTGAAAATACCGTGCACACTTTCTTGTTTTGTTTTTACATTGCAGATTGCTTGGAAAACCAAAGTGAAGTTTTTTCCCATTCACTGAACTAGCTAATTTGTATCTGAGAAGGGTCCTGCGACTGTGGTGCATGAATAATTTGTGGGGTTTGATTTGAGTTAATGAATTAAAAAGTATACATATACACACTGATTATTGTTTCACTATGTTGTCACTTATTGGCAGACCTGAAGTTAAATAAATAAAAATGCTTTTGAAATTGTTGCATCTTTAAAAAATAAAAAATTATCACAGCAGTGACCTCATGGCATGTGTAGCAAACAGGAAGTGGTAAAGGGGTCCTCAGAGTGTAAGCTGCCCACAATAATTCCTGATTTTTTTTGTACTTTTAAAGAAATCTGATGGTGTTCACAAAAACTCTGGACACGATTTTAATCACTTAAATTAATAAATTTTCAATTGCATATTTTGATATTATATAAGGTATTGACTTAAATACTTAGTGACGAGAGCCATGATGTTTAATTTTACATTTAGTTTTTTTTCTGTATTTTAATATTATCACACCTGCTTGTGGACAGCGGATTTTTAAGGTAATGGTAATGTATTGTACCATTTAAAATAAATATATATGTATAAAAAATGCTAAATCATACTTTTGTTGTATAAACATTGCCTTGGTTTGTCTTTTAGGCAGTTGGGTAACACTTGTATGCATATTTTTAACCACAAAATTGGGTTTTATCTGCCGGACATGTTTTGTTCCTTATCTCAAGAATCACTGATTTTTGTGTGTTGCATTCTAGTGATGGGATTTCTGGCTCTTTTTAGAGAGCCGGCTCTTTTTAGAGAGCCGGCTCTTTCGACTCCCAACCGGCTCTTCAGGTTGTTTCGTTGCTTTAATTAATTTATTATTAACAACAATATAAAATTATGCACAAAATTAGTAATGTAAAAAAAAAACAAAAAACCTGTGGTTTTATTTATATATGTTTATATAAATATATGCGGTGGCCCCTAGAGACAAAACACGTACAAACTCCAAAACACATTTCTAGCATTAACTGAACTTCAAAACAGAGCTGCCTAGATCACTTAAATTACACAATTGAAAGCATATGTGTTTGTGTATTTATACACAAGCATTATTATTACAAATAATGTTGTAAGAATGTTCATTTACCTGTTACGACCACACACTAAATCCGGTCGTTGGTACTTCCTAGCTTGTGTAGCCAGAAGGTAACAAAAGCTCAACACTGCCCCGAGCATCCTGAAGCACTTCTGTTGTGTTTTTACGTATTATGGAGTTTGTACGTGATTCAGAGGTTTTTTTTTATGTGTTCTGGAGTTTTCAATTCAGTCTGTAACAGGATTACTAATATTCACTGTATTTCAGAAGGACAAAACACAGATTTTCTTGTGGCTGAGACTGGTAAGTACTCACTAAATGTAACATTTATAACAGGAATAACCATGGACACTGTAAAAAGCTGCTCAAATATTTAAATGTTACACTGGAGATTTACTTCTGTGGCAGTACTGGCACAATTAGTTCCTGGTCTGGGACCCCAAGGAGTGTGATGGTGTCACTAAGACTTCTCTACCTGTGAGGGAGCTCTGGTCTCCAGACATCATTGTTTATGAGTTGTAAGCACTTCAAATATAACATCCACCCAACTTCTCCCGCTTATCCAGGACCATGGGGGCAGCAGCCCAAGCAGAGAAGCCCAGACTTCCCTCTCCCCTGCCACCTCCTCCAGCTTGTCTGGGGGAACACCAAGGCGTTCCCAGGCCAGCTAAGAGATATAATCTCTCCAGTGTGTCCTGGGTCTGCCCCGGGGCCTCCGAATCTCATCTCTGCTTTTTGCAGATGACGTGGTTCTGTTGGCTCAAAAACAAAAGTGAGGGGAGATTTAAGTAGTGATGAGAATGATCAAAATGTCTCAGTGTGTCAGTTGCAGGTGGGAAGCAGACCTGGATCAATCGCCACAGGCAGCGGTCGGAGTAAAATCATAGGTTAACATCATTAGAAACACCCAGGACGAGTTTTGGCTGAATTGTTTTACAGCTTCACTTCCATGTGTTCCTCATCCCGAAAAGCAAGCTCCAAGGATGTTAACGTCTCCCTGAAAACAAGAAATGCAGATCCAAAAGCAACAACATGGCAGGTCAAGAGACAACAGCAGTATCCTGAGCAGCGAGGGGTCCAGCAGCAACAGCAGTATGTGCAAAAGGCATCAGCAAGGAGAAAACACCATCATCATGACTGGATGGATGGAGATGCAATGGACTGCTGCAAGGGGGGAGACGAGACTACAGTGGAAGGAGGGGGAGGAGACATGGAAGAACGCTGTTGTTTAGTGTGGGAGATCAAATTGGGCTAAGGAACCTGGGGAGGAAAACCGACTGCCTTTGAGTGGAGAATTGAAAAGTGTCTGAAACACTGCAAGGAGGAGAGGCACACAAAAATCACACACACAAACAGAAAATGCATTAATCCTATTAAGACATATACACATGCAATGAAGACCAGATAACATCTTAAGCATGCGTTTCTGTTTTATCATCTTGTCCAGTTCACTTAGTGGGATGAGAGGTGATATGTAAACTAGTGGACTAGTATTATGTTAGGAAAGATGATTGAATGATAGCAGGTGTAAACAGAATGCTGTAGAGAGGGTTTAAAATGGGTGGCACTAATAGATTCTGGGTTCTGATGTGTGGGGGAGGCTTTACCATGACACACACCTGGTACATGGGAAGAAACTCATTATCTAATAGAACAGCAGTGTTATGTGGTGTGTGTGGCTGATGGATGAATGTTTTGGGGATTTATCTGGCTGAGGCATTTTCTTTTGTTACCAAGTTGAACCTGCCAATTAGTTTTGGTTTGAATTACCCTTCCAAGATGAAGAGCATGCTTAGATATGTCCTAACTAGGCCTTCCTGTCTGTTTGTTTTTTTACTTTCACAGTGCACTGAAAGGTTTGTTTGGTCATGCAACACGCAGCACCTGTACATAAAAGGCCAAAGCCGACTGTACTTCCTCAGAAGGCTGAGGTCCTTCAACATCTGCAGGAAGCTCCTGAGGATGTTTTATCAGTCGGTGGTTGCAGGAGTACTGTTCTATGCTGTGGTGTGCTGGGGGAGCAGCACAGCAAAGGACTCATCCAGGCTGGAAAAACGAATCAGGAAGGCTGGCTCTGTGGTCGGCATGAAGCTGGACACTTTGGTGACAGTGGCAGAGAAAAGGACATTAAAGAAACTGATGGACATTATGGACAATGCTGGGCATCCTCTGCACGTGCTCGTAAATAATCAGAGGAGCCTGTTCTCCGCCTCTCTCCTTCACTGAACACAACTCCACCTCCCCCATCGCTTCACCTGCAGGCAACGACAAGATGAGACACGGCAGCTATCAAAGAGGAGCTGGTCGGTAAAAAGAAAACATTTGAAGATTACTATTTTAGTGCTGTCAGCGTAAAGTTAATGCCATAACTGCATTAACGGGGCAAATCTCCGTTAACTAGTTACCGCGGATCACCCCGTGCATGGGGCTGGGCGGCTCTAACGAGCTAACCGGGCTAACACGTTGACGCACGGCCTAAAATCCTTTCATCTCAAAAATCGACAGTCTGCCTTATGTATGAATTCTGGTTGTGCTTACTGACCTCGAACCAATTTTATGTGGTACACAGCTTAAAAAAATATGTCAAAAAATGTTTTGGTACGACTTTGGTAAGCTATGAAGCTGCACTGCTTGATGGATTGTTGGAGCATTACGGCTACCGAGGAGCCTCGCAGAGTGATACTACTCTGCTTCAACGTAATATTACCATATTATGTGTAGTAAGGACCATAAATGGCACCTGTAAGAGACACGGTTACAAAGAGGATTTCAAACTCCAGGCTGTCAGTCACGCAGTAGAACTTGGAAACAGAGCAGCTGAAATCTGTCTTTGTTATTATGCTCAGCATCTTTTAGTTTACATTTTGATCGCACAATTGTGAGCTTTTTGTTATGCACAAAACATTGTTTTGGTTTATTTATGGAGCACCATTAATAAATGCACTGATAATTTAAACAGATGCTTCAGGAGTTTTATCCCACTCATACTCTCAATCCAATGTTTGTCATTCTAAGTTGTAAAACCAATCACACAAAATTATCCTTGGCATTACATAATACATCCCAGTATACTGTTGGTGCATTCCATGTAGAATACAATTTGTTAATAATAAATTAAATAAATTAAACATTTGATGTAATGTATTCTTTGTAAATTATTTGTTTTACCTGTGTTCACATGGCATTTTACAAGGCAGAATCAGCTCACTTTAGTGCAAAAAATTAGGACAGGAGAAAAAAATTCTTAAGTAATGTCAGGAAGCTGGTATTTTATTTTAAAACTAATTGCTATTTTTATTTATTTAGAGAATTAAAAGCCAACTCCAGACCACTGCTTGTCCTGATTTATGAGGGACTGATGAGGAGTTGGTAAGGAGAGGAATCAGAACAGGAGTGCCTCCCCCCGCCCCAAACACATTATCAGGTAATGTAACTTTGGTAATTTGAGATTAATTCAGGTTTCTTTTGAATTGTTGACACTGTCCTCTCCTCTCTTCTCATTATAGCTTTTGTATGCAGTGCCAGTTCTGCTCTTTTGTCTGTTCAAGCCAAGAAGTACTCTTAAGACATCACCAGCTACGACATAGAAGAGGATTTCATTTGCCCTGTGTTTACAGTGACTGCGTCTGTTCGTTTAGGACACGAGGGGCATTGAAGTCTCACCTCAGCAGATCACACAACAGGGCTAAGAAAAGGCAGGAGATCTCAACATTTTTTTTTGTGAATTTAAGGAAAACTGCTCACAGCATACATTTATTTCACATATTTTAAGGCACTTAAAAAACATCAGACTGTATCCTGTCCTTTCCAAAAATGTGACTATGCTACCAACAATTTATCAACCTTTACGTCACACACAAGCAGAAAGCACAAAAACTCAAAAGATATAAAAAACTGTATTAGACTGATTTCTCATGCAAATGCATGTCCTAGTGAAAGTAGCTCCCCTGATAAATCCTTAAATACCTCTCAGGAGCCAGAGACATTACCAAGTGGTTCAGGTGTAGCATCAAGTGATAAAGAGGACAATGAGTTTGTAGATTACCAATGTCTTGAACATAAAATAGCTAGACTTTTTCTATGCATGCAAACTTTGTTACATGTTTCTAAAAGTGCTTTGCAGAGAATTATTGAGGAAATTAGTGACATTTTAAAATTTTCTCAGGTTCATTCATTTCAAAGAATCAAAGAGGTGCTTGCTGAACAGAACATTGAGGCAGATGATGATGTAATTAAAAATATAAATGATGCACTTTTCAAAACCAACCCATTAATTATCTCAACAGAACCAAAAGGTGCATTATCTACTGATTACAAGAGAAATATTTATTTCAAGAATAATTTTCATGTAATTGAGCCTACAGAGTACATCTACAAAGCGAGAACTAGAAATACATTTGTTTATGTCTCAGTAAACCAGGTCTTGGAGAACTTATTGAAAGAGAAAAGTTTCTTTGAAAAGTTAGCATTTGATAAAGAAATTAGTGAAGGTTACAGATCATTTAGAGATGGGCAGTATTTCAAAAACAACAAGCTTTTAGGATTGCAAGATACTTGCATTAGTTTAGCTTTGTATATTGACGACTTTGAAATATGCAACCCTTTAGGAACATCTCGAAAAATTCATAAAATAACTGCTGTCTATTGGGTTGTACTCAACTTATCTGCAAGGTTTCGTTCTACATTACACTCAATACAGCTTGCTCTTCTTGGTAAAAGTGTAGACGTTAAACAGTTTGGGTATGATGCTTTTCTTTATCCACTCATTGAGGATTTAAAATGTCTTGAAAGCACAGGGGTGTATGTTGAATCTTTAAATAGTTTTTTAAAGGGAACTGTATTTTGTGTCTGTGCAGATAACCTTGGGGCTCACAGCCTTGCAGGCTTTTTGGAGTCCTTTAATGTCGACAAATTTTGTCGATTTTGTAGTATTGATAAACATCAGATTGCAGCTCTTGACCCTACAGAATTTCTGTTAGGGTCCCTGGGTCGTTGACCCAGTGTTTTGTGTTTTTGGTTCTTTGATTTTGTTATTTCATTATTTCTAGCTTTGCTTTATGGGTTTTAGGATCATTCTTAGTTTAGGTTCTCTGGGTGGGGTTTGGTTAGAGTTTTAGTGTTCTGGTTTTCTGTCTGTGTTCCATAGTTGCTGTCTCCCCTGTCTGCTGTATCCCCACATCCAGTCAGTGTCTGTGTCTGCCCTGGTCCCACGTCTCTGTTCCCTTTGTTATAGTGCCTGCCTGTGAGTCTGTGTTATGTTTCCTGTTTTACTTTGAAAGTCCATGTCTGATGTTAATGTGTCTGGTTTTGCTTCCCCTTGTCTCGTTAGGCCTGATTTGCCCCAGCTGTGTTTCCCTCCTGTTACCCATTCCCTGATTGCTCCCTCTGTGTATTTAAGCCCTGTGTTTCTCTGTGTCTGTGTCGCGATCTACCGTTTATTCCTAGCTGTGTGTTTTGCCAGTCCACCGGTGTTAGTTTATTTTGATTTTTTCCAGTTATGTTATGTTTGAGTTCAGCATTAAAGCTGTTTCGGTTTAAGTTTGTCTCTGGAGTCTGCACCTTGGGTCCTATTCCTGTCCGCACACAGCCACCTCATAACAATTTCCATTAAGAACTGTGGAACAGCATAACATTTTTCTAGAAGAGCTTGAGGATGGTCAAAGACAAAGTGTGTGTGGTGTCAAAGGTTCCTGTGCCTTAAGTGCGTTGTCCTATTTTCATCCAGTCACTGGATTTCCTCCAGATATATTACATGATTTCTTTGAAGGTGTTGTCCCTGTGGAATTGTGTTTGTGTCTTCAAGATTTAATCAGAAAGGGTTTTATTACATTTGAAGGACTAAACAAACGTATAAAATCATTTCCATATAAATTCTCTGATAAGCTCAACAAGCCACAACAAATTACAAAAGCCAGTTTTGGAACAGGAAGAGTGAGTGGCAATGGACATGAAAACTGGACACTTTTGCGTTTGCTGCCTTTTATCATTGGGACCCGTATACCAGAACATGAGCCATCATGGGAAGTATTGATGGACCTTAAGGAGCTTGTTGAGATTGTTGTCTCAACAACTCTATCAGAAGAAATATTGTCATACTTGGACACCAAAATATTGGATCATCGACGACTACTGATAGAGACTTTTCCTGATTTTAATTTGAAGCCAAA